CAAGTGGTTACTGAGTAACTCTTGTAACTCACAGCTAGTGGGTATCCCAGGTTCAACGATGGAAAGAGAGCTGTGCGCCCTGGCCCATGGGGCTTACCCCTCTGGTCCTCAACCGGGTCCTAATGTGATAATCCCAACCAGTTGTCAGAATTCCACTGCTCTGCCATTGTCTGGAACATCGCAGACCCCTGAGCAAGCAAACGTTATTAGAGAATTCACTAAATCCTGTGAAATTGACTAACAAGCAGAGGAGGGGTAGGGGTAAGGAGGGCAACTGCTGTCTGATGGGTGACATTTGACCCCAGGCCGACTTCTCCTGGTGGAGGAACCAGCAGACCCAGCGTTCCTGTTCAGAGAATCCAAAGGCTGCTGTCCCTGGAGGACGGAAACCGGGCCTGGGGTCAGCAAGGCTGCCAGGGTTGCAAGGGAGATCGGCTTTTATCCTTCATTCAGTGGGATGGGCTTTTGTTGCCAACATGCGGTGGCCTTTGGCAGTCAGCCCCTGTCATCGACTTTTCAGTCCCTCCATCCTTCCAGTAAATGGTTTGGGGGTACCTACTGTGTGCCAGCTTTTCCCTAGGGGTCGCCCAAGCGACCACACAAAGCCACAGCCTGGGGCACTTGGAGCCTTTCACTCAGCGCGCCCGGAACGCGCGGCCGCCAGGTGGCACTCTGCTCCCGCGTACGGGCCCCGCCGCGGGGGTTCCCCCACTCCGGCTGCGGAGGAGGAGCGGCCGGAGGCGGGGCTCACGCCGCAGGTTGTGTGACTTTGGGTTTGACCTGCCTGGAGATGAGCTAATCCCGCTGTATAATAGACTCCGGGGAGATAGGAAAATGGCCGCGCGCTATCTGCGTCGCCATGGGGACCATCGCGCGCGGGCGGGGCGCGGGCCTGGAAAAATACAGCCTTTGTGGCGGCGTGTGTCACTCACGACCGGGTCCTCGGGCGGCGGGTTGGGCTCTGTCGCCCCAGCTGCAAGGCCTTGGCGGAGGGGCCTTAGGACCAGGACCCCTGGGCATTCTCAAACCCCCCAAACAGCTACTCGCCGGGTGTCCCTCTCCAGCACTCCCCGGACCCGGCGTACAGAGGTCTCTTCCTCACAGCCAGTGTCCAGCCCAGAGTCTGCACAACACAGGCTCAAGCAAGGCCAGAACATGGCCCTTCGCTTCGCGCGTCTCTCTGCACACCTGGTCGCCCTGGATACACACTGTCCTACAGATCCGTGCCGGTTCCAAAAGCCTGTGCCACTGGCACAAACACCGGCTACTGCGCCCACCGCGCAGCTTCGGAAACACACCTTGTGGAGTGCGGCCTGCGCGTGCTACATTCATGAGTGGCTGCAAACCCCTCTGTTCCGCACCCCTAAACAGCATCCTCCAGGGCCAGGTACCTGTAGGCCCTTACAATCAATTCGCTCGTGCACGCGGCTAGCACATCCACTGCATGCTTCCCCACTCGGTCACGTGCAGCACCACTCCCCGCGTGCGCTCCGCGGCTACTTCCAGGAACTCACCACGAACACTCACCACGCATGTGCTCAGGGGCTCACACACGTGCACTTTGTCTAGGCACACTTACTCGCACACTCACATCCTTGCTTGCTCGGAGTCCACTCGCTGGCATACCCACGTGTTCCTCCAAACACACCGGGCAGAGCCGGGGCGCACACCCGCCGCCCAGAGAGCCCCCCGCGGACGCTATCTGCCTGCCCATCGGCGCGCGGATCTGCGGTGGTAAATGCTGCATTCGATGGCGGGCGCATTTGTTGTGCGCGCTCTGAAAGGGCTGCGATAATCTGGAAGGCAGAGATAAGAAACACCATTTATTCCGCGGCACTTTGGAAACAATTCCCAGCCCTGTACAACCCCATTCTCGAGCAGCCTCCGGGAGCCGGGCAGATAACGATTGGCTATTCATTATCTTCGCCGGGAACAAAGATTAGCCGGCCGAGATGAAAAATTACCCCGGCCAGCGGCTCAGCCCCACTCAGACCCCCCTGCCCGTCGCCACCGCCCCGCGATCGGTGCCCCGCCCGGGGTCCGAGCGGAGCTCAGCTCATGCCTTGCCCGGTCTCCAAGGCCCTGGCCTCCCTTTGGCCGGGCCGACTTGGTCTCTCCATCTTTGGTCTGTCCTTCTCCCCCAGCCCTGCTCTCCTCCCCCCAAGTCTCTCTGGGTCTGTCTTCTCTTGCTCTCGTGTTTTTGTAGTCTCTCCATTCCCGCATTTCGATTCTGTCTCGCTGTCCTGCCTCTCTCTGGTTGATACTTTCTTTGCTTTTATTCCCACCTCTCTGATTAATTCTGCCACTTGTTGCTTATTTCGGCCTGAGTACCCCAGTCCCTGGGCCAACCCTGTTAGTGCTTCTGCCCCTTAGCGTGATCGCATTTTTTTTTTTTTTTTAAATCTGTTTCTGGAGTCCTTGTTGCTTGTCCCTCTCTTTTTCTCTGGATCTTTCTGTCACTGGAACTCCAATTCCCTCCGTCCCAAGTTCTGGGTCTCATACTGCATGACCTCAGAAGTTAGACTGAGGGCCTCTTGTCGCCCACGGAGAAGAGAGGCAGAGAAGAGAGGACTTGATTCCCCGATGCAGTATCTAGGACCTTTCTCTAAGAATCAAGACAGACCTAAAATAAATGAAAATAAATAAATAAATAAATAAATTTTTAAAAAGGGTCTCTAGGACATAGGGTCTACCAGGTCTCTAGGGGACTGTCTCTGTGCTCCAGGTCTGGCTGACCATGCCTTACCCAATAAGAAGGGAGCCTGGGAGCTGGTGGTCCCAGTGAGGCCACCTCATTAGAACAGTTATTCAGCATGGCCCTGGTAATAGCAGATAAGGCTTATCAGCTCATCTCCCCCTCCCACAGACAGACAGAAAGTGCCAGAGTAAATGGCACCCCTGGGCTCCACTGGCCGCCTGCCCTGCTGGTTAGGGAAGGCGCCGTGGCCAGGGAGCCCCGAGGATACACATACTGTCTCCACACTCCTCCCCTACCAGACAGAGTAGTCCTGGATACAGAAACACAGGTCCAAGATGGAGTGATAGACACAGGTGCCCACCCCTCAGACAGGCCCACAAACACCAAGCCCAACACATCAGTTCCACCTGAAGCAACAGATATGCAGACATACTTGGATATGTTTAACCCCATCTGCCTCCAGCTCAAAGTTGGAAATCACCACCTGCCGTTAAGACATACTAACCCTGAGTGGTGGCGCACACCTTTAATCTCAACACTCAGGAATCAGGTGCAGGTGGATCTCTGTGAGTTCCAGGCCAGCCACAGTGACACAGTGAGACCTTGCCTTTAAACACGTGTGTACACGCACATGCACATGCATGTGCATGATACCCACACACCTGTATGGCCTCAAATACAGATACACACACCTCTCATTAATTAATAGACTTGTCAGTGAATATCCAGACACATTGCAACCCCCTCTCATACACACACACACACACACACACACACACACACACACACACACCTAAATATAAGTTGAAAGATATACATGGATATCCAGACTATTAAAGACACATACACAAATGCATGTCTAGATACAAACACAAATGCACAAAGGTAACACACTGATTAAGCCATACTTAGAGATACCCTCTGCTTATCACATGATTCTTGAAGATGGTGGTCTGTCTCAGAGATATCTAGACGCAGAGACGTACACCCAGTTCCACAGACACTGTCTTACATGCATTTGTGGGGCCACACTCCGATACCAGTCAAGCTGTGACCAGCCACCTAAAGCAAGTGCTTAGGGATACGTTCAGTTTTGCAAACACGCTAGGAACTCCCCATCGTGAAAACATAGCCCACCGGGCACATAAACTGAATTGCATGCAGAGAGTGCATTCACAATGCAACAGATTCAGAAAGACCTAGAACAGCTGGTGGCACAGGATGGGGAAGGAGGAGCAGACCCACTCCCTGCATGGGGCACACCAGATGCATAGTCTTTCCCAACAGAGTGAGTCTGTGGGATTCTTCTAATTTCTCATAGGAGCTTAAGGTGGTACAAGGAATGGATTCTCATTGCTACCTAGCTCAGGTGCCTCCTTAGGGCTCAGACTGCCACCAGACTGCCTCCTCCTACCAGTGTAAGGACAAGTCTCTTGCTCTCCTTGTGGCATTCGCTGACGCAAAAGGTTTGCCAGTAATGGGCCAAGGACACACCAGAAACTCCTTTCCTAAAATGCTTCTGAGTTGGGAACGGGTGTCTGTGGGGAAGGAAGTGGAAATAAATACATCTGCACTTAGCCAAACGTGCAGGAAGTGAGGGAGCTGTGTCGATGAGTGTGCGTGCACCTTATACCTGTGTGTGCACACGGGTGTTTGTGTGCCGGAGAGCTCCTGTCTGGGGACATCTACACAGCGACAGCACGTGCACAATGTGTGTATGGAAGGAGGGGCAGGTGTCTGTGTACTTGCTTGTGAGGGAGAGTCTGCAAAGAGAGACATCCCAGGCTTTCTGAGATTACATCCCTGAGAGCAGAAGTGCTTGCGTGGCCCTAAGAAGGCGGGAGTGGCCTGCAGGGCGTGCGCGCCTCAACTGACTAGTGGCCCGAGTCTGGCCAGCCCAGCGGCTGGACCCGGCAGACAGGGCGCAGAGCCCGGGCACCCTCCTGCCCCCCTGCGGCGCCCCCCTCCCCCCAGTGATGTCGAAATAAAAAGCTGCCGCGGTGCGGCCGGGAACCGAGAGGCAGCCAGAACCCAGAGAGGTGGCCAGGCCAGCCGGGCGGTAGCTCGCTGCTCAGGTCTCTCTGGCCTGCGATCACCTCAACCATAGCCGGTCCTGGGGCCCATTGAGCGGACAAAAGCCGCGGCCTGCGCACCGAGCTTTCGTTGGGCGCCGCGCCGGGGTCCCGCTGGTGACCGCCGCTGTCGCGCTGGCTCCCGCGGGCCGACTATCCACGCCGCACACACGGTTCCCTCCCTGCTGAGCCCTGGCCGTGGCCGCCCGAGGGCGCCGCCCACCGCGCCGCTGTCGGTAAGTTCCTGCACTCCGCCGCCCGCGCTGTCCCGAGCCTCCGGATCCCAGGCTCGGCCTTCCCAACACCCGGATCGCACGGTCCGACTAGTGGCTTAAACCCAGGTCATCCGGAAACCCAGAGACCTCCCTGGGGGCTCCTGCCTTCCGTTTTTTTTCCGGAGCCTTGGACCTGGAGACCCGGCTTTCCAGAGCTTTGCGACGCGCCCCCCTCCCACCCCAGAGCTGGAGCCTTTGTCTTGGCGGTTCCCCACCCCCGGGTCGCGCCGGCCGATGCGCCCAAGCCGGGCCGCCGGGCGCTGGCTGCACCTGCCGGCTGGTCCCGTGCACCGGCTTTGCGCGGCTTAACCCGGCTCGCTCCTGCTTGTGCCCCCCGTTCGAAGCGCCCCGCGGCCCTTTATCCTGTGTGGCGAGGGTGCAGGTGGGGGAGAGCGCAGGGTATGTAAGTCTTCCCCTGCCCAAGTCGGAGCCAGAATCCTTTCAGTGGGATTTCAATAAGAACGAGGCGGACGCAGGCTCGGGGATCCGCTGTGGAGAGGCGTAGACAGAGCTCTGGGCCTGTCTGGACACCGGGCATTGAACCGTTCGGTAGCGGCTGGGCCTGAACTCCAGCTTACCCCAGCAGTGAGGGGAAAGGTCTTGTATTCAGAAGGGCCTCCTGTATGGCGTCTGCTCCTTTATCAGAAAACAAGGAAAGAAATTCGTTTGTTTTGGGGGAAAAAAAACTTGCCTCCCAAGGTCGGGAACATCTGGGGGTGAGTTCTGGGTCTACACTGAGGCCCAAGTTGGGATTCGTTTATAAGCAGGCAGCATCCAGGAACCAGGTAGAGCCGAAGCGTCTGCCAGGCGTCTGGAGAGCGTTTCCCAGCCGGGTTGACAAATTGCAAGCAAATTGCATCTAACGAAATGCATTTAGCAGTTGTCAAGCCGCTGACCCACAGGCCTCTGAGCAAAGCATAGCTGTTGGCGAAGAGAAGGCCCCCGATTGTCTCCGGGTGGGGTATGGAGGGTGGAAATAGACCAGAAATGGCAGAGTCCAAGGCACCTGGCACCAGAGGGCCAGAACCTAACACACTGGGTCACAGCATCTGTATTTCCAAAAGACTAAGACGGTAGATGCTGGGGAAGCGGGAATCTTCTGATTTGAGGAGCTGGAAGCGAACCCCAGAGAGCAAGAGATACTGTTGGAGTCCTTCTAAATTGATAGATGCTGCCTGGGACATATCTGAGTCCTCTACATAGAGGGGACACTGAGCCATAGTGACCAAAGCTCCCCCACTTCCTTCCCAGTGTTCCTCAAAGCTTGTGGCTAAGGCAGGGCTGGAGGCCTCTGGGTTGTGAACGACTTCGGTTTGGAAGGCAGTCCTAAGCTAGTCGACCAGTTAGCTGCCCTTAGGAGAGAATTAGGCTGCGAGGAGAGGGCAAACTTGTGTTCCCAGAGGTACGGCTTGGATGAGGATGTTTCAACAAAGGGCAAGTGAAGAGGGCAGCGCCAACTGGGGGCCCTATATGACTCCATCTCCTTTCAGACTGATTTGCAGGATCCGGGCCACACCCAGAAAAGGGCCTGGGTCCACAGAACCCAGCTCCCACTCAGGAGTAGCTCCCCACCCCACCCCCTGCACTGTCCCGCTCGACAGAAGCTTCCAGGTCACGCAACAAAAAAAAAAAAAAAATGGTGGTTAGAAAATTCAGTTTGGGAGCCAGGCTCCCTCTATTCTAGAAATCTTGTTTCCGCGGAAGGAAAAGGACGGTTTAGTTCAGAGAAGAGTAGCCCCAGGTACGCTCCAAAATCAACAATAACTACAAAAAAAAAGTGTCCACCTGAAGGTGTCCTGGGACCTCTTAGTAGGGGGCTGTAAATTGGAATAAATCTGCTTTCGTTTTGGGGGTCGGCGGGCGGGGGCTGGGGGAAGCCAAATCTAAGCCATCCTGGGATCTGTCTCGGCCCTCCCTGGTGTTTGTTTGGGCTTTATTGGCCGTTCATTTTCGGCCTAGTAGTGGGTTCTTGGCTGTGGATCGATCTGGCTGACACACGTTCATCAGCGCAGGCTCCCCTTTATTCGCCAATTCAGTGTCCTGCTACCTAGCCGGCAATTTTCCCTTTCACGCGGGTTTGTTCCTGCTGGAAAACTCGAGCAGTCCCGCATCGGACGCAGGGGCTCCAACCTCGGCAGGGGCTCGGGCCAGCCGGCTGGTTGCTTGCAGTTTCCAGAAGGCAGCCTCGGGGCCTCAAAGGACCTAGCAGGACATCCCCCCCTCCTCCCGCGCCCCGACCCCATGCCCATGGGCAGGCAGGCTGTGGCGGGTCTCCTGAGGCCCTGGCTCAAGCGTCGCTTAACCGCCTGGCTAAACCCTTGTTGCGTGGCGATTTTCTGAGCTGCCGAGCGGAGTAATTAAATCCCCTTCTGCACTCGGCTCTGCGCGAGGCGGGTGGGCAACACTGGGGCTCGCGTTTAGATTGGGGACCCGCCGGGCTGACCACTTTCACCTCTGCGAGAGGCAGGACTTGCCCAGTCGGCGACGTGGCGTGGAAACCGCAACCCCCATCTCGTTCAAACAGGGAGATAATTTTAATTGCGACTTTGAGAGAAAAGAGGGGAATTACCTGCTTTCGGGGATGGTGCTGGGAGGCCCCCCCGCCCTGCCGCCCTGCCAGCCGAGGCGCCTACACGGCCAAGGGCAGCTTCCTCTGCGCTCCGCGCTCTCCTCCGGGAAGTCTGCAGAGCAGAGGCCTGGGATGCGGCCACACGGGGCACCGTTGCCGAGAGTAGGGTTATCGCCAGGGCTGCGAGGCCTTTAGACGCTCCTGCTAGGTTCCAGGGACATCGAACACTCTGGAAACTCCGCGGCGATCTCGCTTTGCACTTGAATGAAGAATCGTGGTCTAAAGGCGGGGTGAAGCCAAGAAAGCCATCCCGAGAGGGAGTGGGTCCTAAGCTGCCCGCGCAGTGGGAGCGCTAGCTTGGCGGCACAGAGACCACCCACCTGCCCAGGCCGCCCCGAGGCACTGCGGCCTTGCGCCCCTGCAGACCCTCTCGCCCTCTCGCACGACCTCCTGCCTAGGCTGGGAGCGGACTCCGGAGCCGCCTGGGCCCCTGCTGGCTCTGGTGCGCTGAAGCGCAGGCAGCACGGAGGACCGGAGGGACCCCCCAGGGCGCGAGAGGTGCGGGTTTCCGGCCCAGTGCAGTTCTGCACCCCGGGTCCCGGGCCTGTACCTGTTCCAAAGCCTCGGACAGTCAGATCGACGCCAGCCGCAGAGGCCGGAGGAGGCCCTGCCGTGCGCGCGCCCCCTCAGAGCTGTCCGCAGAGGACCTGGGAGGGGGTGATGGGGGCGCGCCCGCAGAGCTGAGCCGGGCTGGGCGCCCCCCGAGCCGAGGGGACCGAGGGCTTTCCTCCCTCCTTGGATTATTAAAAAGTTCATTTCCTGGCGAATCGGGTGACGTCAGGGGCCCGGCGTCGCGGTGGCGGGGCCGCCGGGCCGGAGAAGCCGCCTCCAGTTACCCAATTACGGACTGTCAATCCTGCTGCCCCTCCCCCATCCTTGGGGGGTGGCGGGGACCCCAGCCCTCCCCCGGCTCGGGACCCACCTGGGACCCCTCTGGGATTATCCCCTGGGGGTCTAGTGCCCTGCAAAGATAGAGGGGCTCGATGGAGGGCGTCGAGCTCGGCCAATCCCTCGCACCTGTCTAGATTCCCCCAAAAGTCTGACTAGCAAGCCTCTTTCTGAGCTTAGGTCTCAGGTCTATACCCAGGGAGGGAGCTAGGTTTGTATACCCGCCTCCGAGCTCACGGCCTCCCCAGAAAGGAGGAGTTGCCAGAAAAACTCCAGGTGATTTTAGGTACAAAGTGCTCAAAACATTGCTTCCCTCTCCCCGAAGGCCGTCTCGGGGACCCCTAGGAGGAAAAAAATATACATATGGCTAATGCCCCGGGAGTCTCCCTCCAGCCGACGCTGGCGCCAGTCCCCAGCTCAACGGCTTCGCCCCAGGCAGTTCGGCCTGGTGGTCTGCTAAGACCACGCCTGGAGCCCTTCCCTCTTCCTGGGCCACTGGCCGGACCGCGACCTTCGGCCCAGCACAGTCTTAAAAGTGTCCTAGTGCCCAAAGCCCGGGTGCCCTAGAGGGGTCCACAGTCCTAGACTCGTGCTATCCAGCCGATCCTACCAGCCCCTTGCACAAGGAGGCAGAGGTCTGGGGGAGTCCGCAGGACTCCGGCTGGCTGTGGTCCGTAGCGAAGGAGCTGGGGCTCCGCCGGAGAGAGTGGACGGCTGGGGTCCTAGCAGAGAAAAACCCAGAAGATGCATGTCTCGGCTCCTGGCAAGTCAGGAACCCGATTGGTGGCTAGTTGCTGGGAGGGCAGAGGTTGGAGGACCCGAGCGTCTGCCAGAGGGGTGCAGGGTTCTGCCCGCAGCGAGGGTCCCCTGGGGGGGGGCGTTGGCATCAGAGGCCGCCCGGAGGGCGCTGGGAGGGGGCCAGGAGGCCGAGGGGGGCCGGCTCGCGGGTCAGTCCCGAAGTCCGGCGGCCGAAGCTGCGGGCGCAGCCAATGGGGGGGCGGAGGCTGGGCGGCGCGCGGCGCTGATTGGCTGGCGCCAGCTTCTTAGGCGTGCGCGGCCCCCGCTTCATGTCTGTGCAGGAGTCGGCAGCTGGCGCCAGGGCGGCCGGAGGATGCCGAGGGGCCGGAGCCGGGCGGGCCGGAGGCCGAGGCGCGCGCTGTCCCCCGCCCCTATCCCGTGAACCCGCCAGTCTCTGGACGCGCTGTCGCGGGACCCGCGGTTCTAGGGGCTCTCCTGGTGTCCCTTACTCTCTACTGCTGAGCCCTCCCCTTCCCGCGCCGCTGCGAGTGTAAGTTTGAGGAGCAGGGGGCTTGTGGGCACTCCTAGATTGGAAGGATCTCGGTGGAGCTCAGGCCAGGATCTCCTATGGGCGATTACGTTCTTATGCCTTGGGGAGAGGTCTGGCTGACTGCTAGAGAGGGCATTGGGGACCGGCTCTCAGCTCCAGGAACTGCGTGTGCGTGTTCGTGTTTGGGGTCGGGGGTGTCGAGGTTAGTTTGTGTATACATTGCCAATGTAAGTGAATGGCGGGGGGTAGGGGGGGCTTTGTGCCTCAGAGTGAATGCCTAGGCTCCTATCTCTAACTTTTAGTCGGAGTTCGTGTGTTTTTGTGTCCAGAGGACAGGGGCTCGGTGTGAGAACCTCATTTCAGTTCCGCGTGCGTTTGTTTGGGGTCGCCGGTGTCAGGGTCCACCCCTGTGTGTGACCTCGTGTGCATGGGTGTGTGGCTGTGGGAACGCTGGTTTCCCTGCGAGTGTGGGAGGCTGAACCCCTTCCTCCGCCTTCCTTTCGTTTTGAATCCTTGTGCTTTCCTCCCACCCGGGCCCCGGTCCTCAGTGGAGCTCCACAGGGACGCCTTTGCTTTCAAGACACCGACTTTGGGAGTGGGGGGTGTCAGAGGCTGGCAGTGCCCCTCACATCTCCTATGTCACTCAGGGCCGCCCCGCCTTCGCCTGGATCCCAAGCCGCAGTAGCGGACCATGGAGGTGGCGCCGGAGCAGCCTCGCTGGATGGCGCACCCAGCCGTATTAAATGCGCAGCACCCCGACTCGCACCACCCGGGCCTGGCGCACAACTACATGGAGCCAGCGCAGCTGCTGCCTCCCGACGAGGTGGATGTCTTCTTCAACCATCTCGACTCGCAGGGCAACCCCTACTACGCCAACCCGGCCCACGCGCGCGCGCGCGTTTCCTACAGTCCAGCGCACGGTGAGCTTCGGTCCTCGGGGTTTCTGGAAGCCCGGCGTCCACGCCAGGCTTTGGAGGGGAGGACGGCCCGCTGCTGCTTCCCGGATGTGGGATCTACAGGAATCTGAGCAGCTGCGAAATCGGGCTGGGGAAGGTGGAGGCAATGACCTCTCGGGGAGGGTCTGGGACCTGTAGGGTTTCTGTCCGTTTCCAACTGTCTTGGGGGAATCCTTCTGGGCCCTGTCCGGTGGGGTTGCTCTGTGTCACTTGTCCTTCGGCCTTTCACTGATATTGCTGATGATTACAGGCCGGGGTGTTATGTTTCTGGTGTTTTAAAGGGTGGGGCTGCTAATTGTTGTTCCCGGAGTTGTGATCCTGTGTGCCTGTGTCAGGGCTCTGAGACCCCTGCCCACACTAACCCTTCTTCCTCTGCTGCAGCTCGTCTCACTGGAGGCCAGATGTGCCGACCACACTTGTTGCACAGCCCAGGCTTGCCATGGCTGGACGGGGGCAAGGCTGCTCTCTCTGCCGCCGCTGCCCATCACCACAGCCCCTGGACCGTCAGCCCGTTTTCCAAGACCCCGCTGCACCCCTCAGCTGCTGGAGCACCCGGAGGGCCTCTGTCTGTGTACCCAGGGGCTGCGGGTGGGAGCGGGGGAGGCAGCGGGAGCTCAGTGGCCTCCCTCACCCCCACGGCAGCCCACTCTGGCTCCCATCTCTTCGGCTTCCCACCCACACCACCTAAAGAAGTTTCTCCAGACCCCAGCACCACGGGAGCCGCTTCCCCAGCCTCATCTTCTGCAGGGGGTAGTGTAGCCCGGGGTGAGGACAAGGACGGTGTCAAGTACCAAGTGTCACTGTCTGAGAGCATGAAGATGGAAGGTGGCAGTCCCCTGCGCCCAGGCCTAGCTACCATGGGCACTCAGCCTGCAACACACCACCCAATACCCACCTATCCCTCCTATATGCCTGCCTCAGCTCATGAGTATGGCAGCAGCCTCTTCCATCCTGGAGGCTTCCTGGGTGGCCCAGCCTCCAGCTTCACCCCTAAGCAGCGAAGCAAGGCACGCTCCTGCTCAGGTAAAGGCAGGTGTGGGGCTTCAGGGCCTGTGGGTGGGGTGTGCCTCTGTCAAAGGGGTTGTGATCTGAAGAGGGGCCACATTAGGGCTCCTGATCCAAGAATGGGTCCTTGCTGATAGTCCACAGGTGTTGGTAGCTCCCCGTGGGGAGGATGGGACCCTGAGAACTTTCATCCTGCCCTTGAGTGCTCCTAGTACCCCAATGTTCAGTTCCTTTCCTCACCCCTCACCATGCCCTCCTCTCCAAGGTTGGTGAGCAGCAGCCCACACTCAGAATAAGATTCCCCGTCCTCTCCCCCAAAAATGATCAGCTGAAACCGAGCAGCCTCATGACTGGGTGTGGGGGAGAGTGCAGGCTGTAGGTGAGGGAAGGAGTCAGTGTGGCCATGTGTGTACGTGTGTCTGGGAGCGTGTGCACATGCTGCGGGGCCCTGCAGAGACGCAGGCCCTAAAGGAATCCGGTTCTCCAACTGCTAGTCTGCTTTCAGGATTGCGGTGACTCCAGATCTCCTGGGAGATTTCCCCAAAGCAAAATTCCCAAGGCCTGTTTGTATCCTAGTGACCCTGATCCTTCTCCCTGAGGGTAGGAGTGAGAACCTCTGCGGGTGCCTGCACCCCTTTGCCAGCCCTAGCTGGATCCAGCTGGGTTTGTCCAGCAATGTGGCCCTCAGGCAATAACCCAGGGCTCTGGGCTCCTCCCGTAGCGTTTAGCTAGGGAGGGGAAGATTTTCTCCAAAGTTTATCCTTGAGTTCAGAAACCACCCTCTCTTGCTTGAGTTCCTAGGTTCAGTTTCAACTGAACCAGGAGGACTGTCCCAGATGCCAGTTACTCCGCACCCCACTGGACCCCAGTCAGTGTCTTTAACTTTTTCGGAACCCATTTCTTCCGAGTTTGTTTTGTGTTTTATTTGAATTCCAGATGACCAAAAACAACAAACAAATAAGGCCACCTTACCTAAAGTGAAAGAACTTATTTCATTTTTTAAAAACATCACCTTTGATCGCTGAATTCTAGGGGTTTGGCTGAAAAAGGAGAAAAGCTAGGGGAAGAGAAGTTTCCTTCCTGACCCTGGACCAAACATAAAGGCAGCGGCGGCGAGGGGCTGGTAGCAGGGATGGGGAACAGACTTGGAGATGCTGGCACAGTTGGGAGGCGGAAGTGGGAGGGAAGAGGAGGAAGAGAGGCTCCCCGGACCCAGGTCAGGCTGGCAACTGTGGCTGTAGCCTGTGCTCCACAGAGCTGGTCTTCAGTTCCTTTTCCGGGTAGCTCGCTACTGCCTCTGTGAATCCTGGTACCCTGAACTTAAGGCTTCTCTTTGTTTTTCTTCAGGAGCATCTAAAACGGGGATTTGTCCTTAAAAGACTCAGGACCTCTTCTATGGGGGACCCCTTGAGTCCCTCTGTCTGCAGGGGTGGGACTAGAAGTCCCCCTTGATACAACAGTGCGTGTCAGACTGGATCCTCTAGCCACTAAGCAGGCCTTGTGTCTCTCCTTGTTCCCCGCAGAAGGCCGGGAGTGCGTCAACTGTGGGGCCACAGCCACCCCTCTCTGGCGACGGGATGGCACGGGCCACTACCTGTGCAACGCGTGCGGGCTCTACCACAAGATGAATGGACAGAACCGGCCCCTCATCAAGCCCAAGCGGAGGCTGGTAGGAACGGGCACGGTGTGGTGTGGGGCAGGGCAGGGTCACGGTGGCCACCGGCCTGAGTGGAGCTGGTAGTTAGTTAAGGGAAGGGAAAAAATAAA